TATTTGTCCTTGTGCCTAGCTAAATGTAATTCATCTGGTAGTATGTATCAGAATATCATTCCTTTTAAAGACTAAATAACACACACAGAGATACATACAGAGTGAGTTTCATACTTCCTTCATTCATTTGATGATACTTGCTTTTTACTTTTTGACTGTTAGGAATGCTGATATCCTAAGCAATGGTATACTGATACTTTTAAAATTTTTGAGACATAATATATAATACAGTAATTGTTTTACACAGTAGCTACACTTTAAATTTCCACTAGTAATACAGAAGGGCTCTAATTTCTCCAGATCCTCACTTTACCTTATTTAAAATAAAATAATATTAATATCAACTAAATAGTCTCTAAGTGGAGAGTAAGCATACATCATACAATTCTAGCACCATGGAGGCTGAAGCATTGTGAGTTCAAGGTCAGTTTAAGTTATACAGATGAGACTGAAAACACTAATGGCTGGAGATATAGTTTAGTGACAGATCACTTTGGGTACACTCAAGAAAGGTATCCTAACTTTATTGTTTATGTGAAATTCTGAAATACAAAGGAAGTAGAGGAAAGATTGTCTGCCATGTATTCTGATGATGAGCATTTGTGTATGTATATATTCTATCCTACATTGTTCCATATTGGTTCAGTTTCAGGGAACTTCATAAGATGTGACAGCTTCACCCTGTAGAATGAGCTCCAAAAATTTCAACCTACTTCATTTACACAGAAAACTTCAAGTAAAATCTCTCCTGTAGTATGGAAAAATCAGAGTTTTACTCTTAAGTACACTAGTAAGGAGTCTCAAAGTCCCTTTTTTCAAGACTAACAAGCCCACATATTAATACACTGTAAAGAAGTAAAATAAAATGTCAGGCTTAGGTGTTAATTGCTGTGGTTATTTAACTTTATTATATTCTTTAAATCTGGTTTACATAACATAGTATTATAAACACCTGAGGACCATTCAACTGGACATAGCATCTTCATACAAACAATTTGCAAGAAGATCAAGTTTAAGTAAGAATCTTGTCGTATCAGAAATGACATAGGTGAAGTAATCTTTTATACATTTGCATTGTTATATAAAACACATTTGGTATTCTAAAGAGCAAAATGTATATTCTTGTCCTGGTGAACATTTTGTTGACATTTAGAACAAATGGCTAGTACATAGCTTATAATGCATTACACCACTATATAAAGTAATGGCATGCAACATCATTTTCTTTTGAAAGCTCTCATTTATAAAAATAGAGCCCTGATGTCAGAACTAATGTTATCTTTTAAAATGTAGTAGAACTGATGGCTCAGAACTAAGTAAATTAATTAGAAATATTGCATAGGATAGAGAGCTTCCCTGTGTGGGAGTCAATCTATGTAGAGTTTCTTATCACCTGAATAATAAGTTGAGAGGTACTGTTGATAGCAAAATGATGTACATATTTTAATAGAATAAACATCTATATATAGTTCTTTATTACCTCTGTGGCAGTGTAAAGTGCCATAATAAATCAAAAGATCACTTGTGTATTCTCACAGATATAGAATAGTATATAAATATGCTAAAGTATCTGTATGAGTAATAAACACAAAATAAAACACATTTTTAAAATCTGGACACAAATATTTTGGAAATAGAGAAGTCAGAATTGAATGTCTTATGTTCGAGCTTAGCAAAAATACAGAAAATTGTAAAATAGGTATAAAGTTTTTCCAATTGCATCAAATTCACTCTGGTAGAATATACATCTCCTGCACAAAATTTTTCACTTTAACCTATCCCACAGTTTAAAAAAATATCAAAGACTAGTAAGAACACTTTATGCAAGCTTATAAACTTGCTTTTCCCCCTTTGTATGAACAAATACACCACCAAGGGCACCATCAGAAAGGAAAATAATTTATATGGCTCTTCCCTTTCTAGTAGTAGTATATCATGAACAGAACACTGTAAAAGCATACATATAAAATAATTGGGAAGGAGTTGAGAGTTAAGTGCATCTTTAAATTCTCTTTTGAGGAAAAATTCTCATGTTTTTATAATAGAGGTTAAGTTGCTGGTATTTTCCCCTTTGGGGTTTAGCTATTTGGTTCTCGATATAAAGATTAATCCAAATAAAAGGTTTTCCTCTGTTTGCTACATGAAGTACACTTATAAACACAATAAAAATAAAGACATAAATAATAAATTGCCAGTTATAAGTATGCTAATAAAACATATTCAATGGTGTTTGAAGAGTAAAAGTATACTGTCAATGTAATTGTACTACAATTTTGATAAAACATTTTTATAAAAACCTTTTATAAAACAAAAACTGATGAGAAGAAAACTATTTTTAGGGTAAAATATTTTCAGTATACCTGAGAATTGTCTCTAATCTAAATTTGCACATTTTCAATTATATTTTACTTTTAAGTTTTTCAATGTAGTAACACAGTTTTAATGCTGGTCCTAGTTTCAGCCCCATATATTTCATCATCAGCTCACTCTTCAGCAGTAGCAGAGCTTTCCCATCAATTTCCTACAGAGAAAAGAAAATTACAGTAAAAATTCTTCCATAGTTTAAGTTATTTACTTATAAGAATGTATAAAATACTGTACATTTCAGATACTTATGTATATATAGTCTCAGAATATATTTCTATGAAAACTAATAAAATTTGATCTCTACAATGGAGCATCATTTGATAATTTGTAAACTTAATCTAAATTTTAAGAAAAAGGTTTAACCCAGTATTTCCAAAGTATCAGACTTTACTGTGTATTGAACAAAATACTACCACCTATTTATGACAAATGGTTAAAGACTGTGAATAGCAGAAATGAATTTCATGTTATTAACTTTCTGAGAAGGGAAAGGAGTATGTCAGTATCAATGCAAACTGTAAACATGCTATACAGTTTCATCTTCATGTTGAAAGCTAATCAGCTGTCTGAAGCTAGTTAGGTGCTGAAACAAATATTGATTTACTTAAAATATTGAAGAGGGGCTGGGGCTGGGAAGGACTGCTCAGTCAGTAAAGCCCTTGTGTTGAAAGCATGAAGACTGGAGTTGGACCTCCAGAATCCATGTAAAAATGCCAGACATAGTGGCATGTACTTAATCCCAGCACTGAAGAGGTAAAGACATGACAATCCCTGGGGTGCACTCGCCAATCAGTGTAACCTAGTTGATGAGCCCCAAGATCACAATGAGAGACCCTGTCTCAAAGGATTTTGGATAGCCTTACTGAAGATACCTGAGATTGTCCTCTGACTCCCATAGGCACATACACATGTGCATTTGCACCTGCACACACAAGTGCACACACACACGCACACATAAAATAGTATACACCAGATATTAAATCAATAATTTTGTTAGAAAATACTGTGAACACATTGCTTAACAGTCACAAGGAATTCTTTAAAAAGCCTTTATTATTGTAATTATACAATTTATGTTATAGAAGCCTATTATTTGGAATTCAAATCATAACGGAGTTGCTGGTTTCACTGGGTATCATGAGAAGGCCACCCCTCCTACTCGTAGTCTTAGAGTAGAACAGGGAGCAGGTCAGGAGAGGGTTCTTGTATTTGTCATTACAAGAAGAGGTGGTCTGCATCAGAGTGGCAATCCTGTAATACCACCTTTTGAAATCCTAAAGCTGTTCAGTGTACTAGATACTTGGATACCCATTTAAAGAACAGGCAATTAACCTACCATTTAAGGCCTGAATGTTGGGCAAAGTAATCTTTCTCACAAATGAAAAAGATCAGTTGATAGGGTTCCCCCACCATCCATACAACTCAGTGTCAAACTGAAAGGCCTGCACAGAGGTCATTCAAAGGCATTAGGGCAGCAGGAAAACCGGATCAAAAGATACATTACATGTTGCCTGAAGAGGTCGGCGAGGGGGCCTGATATGTGAGGATCTGTATGTTTCATAAACTGTATCACTTCATCCACAGACCAGGTTGAAGGGTCCTTAGAGAAGCCTTGTTTCAGGACACTGGGGTCAGGTACAGCTATATAACTTGAAGCTTCAATGGGAGGGGAAAAAAAACAAATCATACTTGACCTGATCATAATCCTGAAAGAAGAGATGTTAGGTAGAAAGTAATGGTCTCACTCCTGGAACCTTCTCTTAAGTACCGAACTAAAGACTCAAGATTCCAACTGTAAAATCTCACGAGAGCCTGAAGGAAGATGATCTAAGGAGCGCTGCGTAAGTGTGTCAATGGACTTCCCCCAAGGAACAGGAACAGTTTTACTTTAGAAGGCACCTTAAAGCTTCAATGTTCATGAAACACGTGTAGCAGCAATCCAAGACTTCTTAGGTCACAAGCAAGTACAGGAAAAGGTGCTACTTGGATTAAAGTGGGATAAAATGAGCTAACTCAGTACTGTCTTCCTTGAATGGATCCAACAAACTTCTCACAAATTGCTCTTAATATCTTTTTCTTCTAAGTTGACTTTATTTTGTTCAATATTATGGGACTCTCAAGTTTACAGGATTATAATTCCCTTTATTTGTTCAATTTTAACTAAATGTATTTCAATAATTCCACTATGTTTGAGAAGGGGATTAATTGTCTGAACCACTTTAATTATTCAGGATGGACATTCTTAGCATCACCTTTACACTTTAGACTCTCATCTCTGGCTTCACTGTTAATCTCAATTTTAAAGAAAACAAAATTATTTCCTCTATATTGTATATAGTCATTGTACTTTTGTATATAGTTTTTCTTTTGTTAGTTATAACCTTTTTCTTTTTTTTCCTTTTTATTAAAATAGAAAAGGGGAAAAAAAAAAAAAAAAAAAAAAAAAAAAAAAAGAAACAACACAAATGGGGGGGGGCGTTGGGGGGAAGGTGAGGGGGACGGGAGGGGGGAGAACAAGGGAATCCGTGACCAATATGTAGAACTGAATTGTATTGCAAAATAAATTAAAATAAATTAAAAAAAAAAAAAAAAAAAAAAAAAAAAAAAAAAAAATTATTTCCTGCTCAGCTAAGTCAGAAAGTAGCTTTAGTATTTTTATTTGATCCCTCTTTTAGGCTTCACTGTATAGCAATAGATATTTATTTTGAGTAGATGTTTACTAAAAAGGAAACAAGACAAACCACAATAAGGTATTCATCTTGACGAGGTTCAGGTTTTAGAGGTACTGTTTACTAAAGTGTAGAAATTTCTTCGTGTTCAAATACTCATTAACTCAAGGAGAATGCTCAACTTCCTACTGTTAGTGTGTGATGATAACTAAAGGTGGTTTTAGACTTTGCTAGGAAAAATCTGTTTATATTTCTAGGTATGAATTAGTTAAAGGTGTATAATTTCTTTCCTATTATCTGGGTCATGGCAAATTTATGGGTGCTTTGAGTATTTACCCCAAGAAGTATAAAGAAAAGAAAAAGTGTTCAAAATTATAATGGCTTTCTGGTTGTAGCTCTAATTTCTTTTCTTTCCAAAACCACAACTGTAACATGAATTCTCTACTACAATATATTCTAGCCTTAACTTGTCATAAAAAATAAATCAATTTTTTTCTGGACTTTATCAATTCAGGTGAAAGTGGTGACAATGAAGCCAGCAGTTTCCAGCATTCTGACACTGCAACATGACGTCATCTACAAATCTTTTGGGCCATATTCTCAGCTATCCTGGCACACATGTGACCCATAAGCCCCAGGCTGGACAAGTCTACAGACAATGCTGTACCATTTGGGAATTAGGACAATTAAAACAGTTATCTTTAACTCACCAATGACACAAACATTAAATATTTACAATGTTAATCATCATATTTCTAAATCAACCTAGGTTTTAAAGAGTTTCTGTCATCAGAATCTGGTATAGTTATGTCTTGCATAACATGTAACTACTTTACAGATAGACTGTATTGCAAAGATATTATTTCTAGCATAAAACTAATTTTAAATTAAAGTAAGACTATAAGATCTTCTGTTTCTATTCTATTACTGAAACAAAATTGGGGATTTGTCTTCAAAAATAATCAGAGGTGGTTATAAATGCTACATGGCTACTACTCAAATAATATATGAAACAAACTAATCATGAGAAAAGAAAGTCCAGTCATACTTTTTCCTGCCTTTATAGATTGGGTTATCAATAAATATATCTGAAATAAAGTGATTTGATTTCTCCCTGACTATCATGGAATTTCTCCATAAGGTAGAGGTCAACAATCTTCTTTTATTCAAACAATGGGGGAAGGACACAATAGTAGTTTGTGTGAGCAACAGTGATAAAATTAAGCTTAAACTAACAGTCACAGGATCTGAAAGAAAATAATGACATCTTTAGACAACTTTGAAATGAAATGGTTATCTTTTCTCTAGAGCTGCAGGCAGCCAGTGTCTAGATTCAACGATTGATCCAGCCACCTTTTTGTCTCAGGGATCATAGTCAAGTGACTTCTGAGATCTTTTTCACTGAAAATGTTTACCAGTAGCTATTCTTCAATGAATTTAAAAAATGATTATTATGTATGCAGCCATATAAAAATATGTGCCTGGCAATAATGTCACATAATGATGATTTCTAGCATCATAGTGTACTAATTAAGCATTATCATTACTATTTTTCTCTACATTCCTAGGGTTGCCAATAGTAGTACTCATACATTTGGAAGTCAGATAACTAGCATTAGAAATTGTTTAAATCCTTTTACTAAGAAAGCCTTTTATCACAAGTTGATATTTAGTTAACATACTTAGAATTAACATTTCATATTAGTTCTTATGGAATATCAATCTTTAGACCTCTGGTAAACATTATCACTTTAAAAACAGAAACAATCACTACAGGAGTTGGGGTAACATTAAATGTGTCATAGATGTGTATAGTGAGGTTGCTCATAGATAACATCCATGATTTAAAAAAAAACAATGAAGTCACTTGCTTTCTAGGTTCTTTACTGTTCAACCCAGCCTAGAGAAAATGGTTAGAACATTTATTACTTCCTTCACTCTCCTGTACTCTTAACCCTTAAAAGGGTAAATGGTAGCAGCAGGAAAGGCTATTTTTTTTTTAACAAAAATAAGATTCCATCTTTTCTTGGAAGATCTAAGAGAATGACAGAGGATGTGGTGATTAGGGAAATGGTGTGGTTACAGAAACAGAATGCCAGAGACCTGATCCAGGTCTCAACAGATATGACAGCACATCAGAAACAAGGAGAAGGAATGTGTCCTTCTTGGTCTTAGAGTCATGAGAGGTTTTAGAGTCCTCACAGTACCTCAGGAGTTGCTTACACCTGTTTGAGAACTACTAATCTGAGAAGTCTCTATCAAATATGATTGGTGGTCCAAACCCCCGAGACAGTTCTGTAATACCACGAGGACAGGATCAGCCACAATAGTATTGTTCCTTCCAATGTGAAAGAGAGAACCTGACCTCTCTAATTTTGGCATTTTAAGAGGTACTCAGGAGGAACAGTCAGGCATGGAATCCTCAAGGAAAAAAAATACATTGGCTGAAATATTCTTGAATATACCTTCATTTTTCTTCTTCCATTGGAATTTAATGTGCTTATAAGTTTTTGAGATAGATGACTTTTTCATAACTATGGATATACTTGAGTATTTGACACAATGTCAGAAACACTCTTGGAGACTGAAGTATGTGCAGGATACAAAGAATCACCTACTGATGAATTCTTAGAAGTTTCAGAAAAACTTTTCATTTTAGACGTGCCATGTCCCTCAGGAGACAATACTACAGGGAGAAAAGAACTTATCTTCAAGAGCTCAAATACTATTAGAAGGCTGTCTTACTTTTCCATTGCCATGACAAAACATCATGACAAAGGCAGAAGGAAGTATTTAATCTGGAAGCTGATGGTTCCAGGGGGTTAGAGTCCATGACCATCAAGGCGGGAAGCATAGCAATAGGCAGGCAGGCATGGTGCTGGAGCAGTAGCTGAGAGCTGACATCTGACCCATGAACATGAGGCAGGCAGGCAGGCAGACAGACAGAGATACAGAGACAGACAGAGAAAGAGAGAGAGAGAACAACACCTGGGATTGGCATGAGTTTTTATAACCTCAATGACCTCCCTCAGTGACATATCTTCTCCAACAAGGCCATACCTCCTAATTCTTCTCAAATAGTCTTAGCAACTGGGGACAAAATATTCAACCCTATGAGCCTATGGGTGCCATTCTCATTCCACCACATTCCACTCCATAGTCCCCATAGGCTTATAGCCATATCATTATACAAAATGTATTTAGTTCAACTTTAAAAGTCCCCATAGTCTTTCAACATTGAAACTGTTTAAAAGTCCAAAGTCTCTTCTGAGATTTGAGGTGATTTCTTAAATGTAAGCCCCTGTAAAATCAAAAGTAAATTATATATACCCAACATGCAACAGCACATAATGCACATTACCATTCCAAGAGGGAGGAATAGGGGCATAGTGATGAAATACTGGACCAAAACAAGACTGAAACCTAGCAGGGAAAACTCCAAATCCTGTAGCTCTATGTCAGATGTCAAAGGGCTTAGATGGCTCTGCCCTTCCAGCTTTGCTGACTGCAACACATCTCTCTCCCCCCTTCTCCCTCCCTCCCTCCCCCGCTCTGGTTTTTCGAGACAGGGTTTCTCTGTGTAGTTTTGGTGCTTGTCCTGGATCTCGCTCTGTAGACCAGGCTGGCCTCGAACTCACAGAGATCCACCTGGCTCTGCCTCCTGAGTGCTGGGATTAAAGGCATGTGTCACTGCCACCTGGCTCATTTCTCTCTCTTGAATTGGTTCTACTCACTATGTGCAGCTCTCCTTGGAAGGTATCCTATAGTTCTGTCACCTCTAACATCCTGGGGGCTCCAAAATAATCCAGACTTCACTTTCACAACTTCAGGCAATGGCCTCTCTGGGCCTCCATGCAGAGACTTCCCTGACACACTCCTGGCATCAGCAGCTTTCCTTAATGGTCTAGGAAGATTCCACAACCCCTTTACTCTTGTATCCTTCTTGACTCTAAAACCAGAGCATGGGCTGAAGCTGCCAAGTTCTGCTGCCAGCTTGGGATGGAACCTGGCTCCCTCCTTCAACTTTGATTTGTTGTTGCTCTTAAGGAACAGAAAATACCTTAGGCCTTTGCACAAGTTGGAGAATTAGCTGGGTGGGATCTTGCCCTGAGGTCACTATTCCCTTTATTCCATTTCTCCTAATCTCTTTCAGCACAAACCAAGGCTCCACCATAAAATTTCCCATTGGTCTTTTTCTACTCAAACTGTGTATTTTGTATTTCTTGTAGCCTTGCTTGTTCTTTTTCATTGTAGATCAGCGTAAGAGTGATCACTAATAATCACATGACAGTCACTATTTAGCTGTCTTGAAATCTCTTCTGCAGATGAAATTAATCCAAAACTTTAATTTAACCTCATGAAGACCCTCAGGACAAGGACAAAAGGCAGCCATATTCTTATCCAAAATATCACCAGGACAGTCTCTAGCCAAGTTGCTAATATTGTTCTTGTCTGAAATCTCTTGAGTTTATCCAAAATATCACCAGAACAACCTCTAGTCGTGTTGCTAATAGTGTTCCTGGATTTAGCATATTAGGTCTTATGTTGAGATTTTTGATCAATTTAGAGTATCTATCCAGTTCAACCAACACCATTAATTGAAATAACCTTTTCTGGGTAGTGCAGGCATTAAGATCAACGATTGAAAAATGGGACCTCCTGAAATTAAAAGCTTCTGTACACCAAAGGACACCATCATTAGAGTGAAGAGCCAGTCTATAGAATGAGAAAAACTCTTTATAAGCTCTACATCTCATAAAGGGCTAATGTCTAGAATATACAAAGAACTAAAAAAACTAAGCACCAACAAAACACTCAATTTAACATTTTTGGTATGTAACTAAATAAAGTTCTCAAATGACAAAATACAAAAGGCTTAGAAACATTCAAAAACTGTTCCATATCTTTAGCCATAGGGAAATGTAAATTAATACTGCTTTGAGGTTTTATCTTACCCTAGTTTGAATGGATAAGAGATTAAAAAAAGTTGGACAACAAATGCTGGTATGAGTGTGGGGAAAGGAGAACACTTATTCACTATTGGTGAGAGTATAAACTGGTACAACCAGTATGGAAATCAGTATGGAGGTTCTTTAAAAATAAATTTATCATATGATCCAGCTATAACTCTACTGAGTATATATTCAAATGACTCTATATCCTATTACAGAGATACTTGTTTATCCATGTTCACTGCTGCTCTATTCACAAGAGTCAGGAAATGGAAACAGCCGAGATGTACATCAACTGATGAATGGCTAATGATAATGTGGTACACTTATACAATGGAATATTATTCAGCTGTTATGAAAAATGAATTTATGAAATTCACAAGTAAATGGATGGAACTAGAAATAACCATTAGTGAGGTAACCCAGACTTAGACAAATATTTCACATTTTTGCTCATAGTGAACTCTAGCTTTGAATCTTCAGATATGTGTATTTAACTTGGAGTACCCATAGAAGTCAAGAAAACAGTAAGGGGCCATGAGGGTGCTTTTAAGAGAAGGAAGAAAGAACACAGGAATTATTAACAGGGAACAGGGAATACTGGAGCATGAAAGGTCAAGTGAGTTAGGGGTTAGAGGGCAGAGTAAAGGAGGGAGTTTTCAGAGAGATAACTAACACTAAAGACTTTTGAAAAAGCCAAATGGAAACCTGATACTGTACAAGCTTCCTAAAATATATACATACATAAAAAGTTCAAATGGGGCCTCTCATAGACATGATAGGCTATCAAATAAAATGTCAGTGGGAAGAAAAGGTTATTTCTTTTGAAATGGTTGGTCAGTGGGGCTTCACAGACCAATAAATATTATAACCAGGGCTATTACTATTGCTCTTGGTTAGCCCTCCCCTGCAGACCTTGATGATAAGACCCTACTTGCTAAAGAAAAATAAAGCTGTTCTGACCTGTAAGCTACTGGCTAGCTTTCATCACGCTGGGTGGTGCTAGGCATACTATTAGGGGAGAAAAGTAATGACTAGTCTTACCCACATATGAAACCTGAAAGCTATTATAATTATGGTCTGTCAAGATATATGTACTGTACAATAATGGTATGAATGTTATAGAAGTAACCAATCACTTTCTGATTGAATTGTATTATTGTATTTAAGGCCTTCTTTAGAAGATTGAACTCATGTTTGGCATGTTAATGAGGCCAAGGACCTGAGAATAGGTAGGTTGCAGGTCCTAGGGGAGAATTTAATACTGCTATTCTACTAAACGTGCATAGTATTAAAATGACTCCTAGAGACTTATGCACACAGATAAGTGTTATCTCTCAACTCTCCTCAGAGAAGCTTCTTTTTGCAGTAGATGGAGATTAGCAGAGACCTGTAACTGATCAATGTATAGAGAATGAAGAGATTACAGAGTGCTCAGCCCTAAAGTGGAATCTATACCATACTGTGACCCCCAGGCTAGGGATCATCTCAGAAGAGGGGGCAGAAAGATTATGAGAGCCAGAGGCAGTGGATAACTACAACAAGACAGTATTTTCTAGATATATTTTGGCAACTGCATTTATAAACTAACAAATTGTGACTTCATACACAAGATTAAACCAGACAAAAATTCCAGCACCAATATGAAAGGGACTTAGGATGTCTCACCCCTAGCCAAGGAACTACTGACAATTAATTGCTGCTGAGAGACAGTTTTCTTCAGGGATGCAGCCCCTGAGAATCTACACTCCAGTAGATAGTCCTATATGTATGCATATAACAGCAGAACTATGTGGATTCTGTGGGTTTAAATAATAATAATAACCACAACAATAGAGAGTGAAATCATGAAATTGAAAGTAAATGGTATAGGTGTAGAAGAGGAGTTGGAGGGGGAAGGAATGAGGTAAGGCTTGATTAAAATACATTACATATATGTGTGCAATTCTTAATCAAGAAAAATACCTATACCTTATTTCCAATAACAGATCACTTAGTTAGTGCTTTACTGAAAGGCAAGAGTCTAACACAAAATACATAGACAGCTCTTTTTCATCATACATAGTAATGGACACTATCCTAAAATCCATGTTGATTCTAGGCCATCATCTATGTTTCTTATGACAATTTAGTATATCTTTCCAATCTTGCCCCCAAAGCTGTAAACTTCTAAAAACCATTTGTTCTTAGAAGCACAATTCTTCAGAACTATTCCTCATGACCATACTGTTGTTTTTTCACATTTGCTTACACTTTAATTGGAGAAAGCAGATAAGCTTTTCTATCTCTCATTCTCTTAGTTATAAGCAATACAAAGCAGAATGGATAGGGCTATTATAAGTCATTTTTTTAACTCAGGCAAAAATATATTTCTGAAAGGAATGCAGTGCTCAATGACCAAAGTAGTAACCTAATTGTCAAACGTGGGTGAATTTAACTTTGTACCCTCAAAACCATCACACCAAGAGCATAAATGGGTGGTGACTGAGGGACTTTCTTTCTTTTGACTTTCTTTCTCAATTCTGGTGTGTGTATGTGTGTGTGTGTGTGTGTGCATGTGTGAATGCCATTTACCTTTAGAGGGTCGCCCAGTCTTTCTGGGAGCCTTTGATGAGGCAGGAGCCAAAGGTAGAGGTTGCTGAGAAAATCGTTTGAGGCTTCTCCTTTCCTTTAGTTCCTCATTTACTGCTTTAAAAAAAAGGTACATGTTATAATTACTATAGTCAGGTATTTTTGTATTATCTGCACAAAGTACTTTTGTTTCAAAGTAATTTGCTACTATGACTTCACCAACAGTGTCAATTATTTGACTTATATTAACAGGCTCACTGTATCCTATTAGGTATTTCTTTTTCTTTTTTTTTTTTTTTTTTTTTTTTTTTTTTGGTTTTTCGAGACAGGGTTTCTCTGTGTAGCTTTGCGCCTTTCCTGGATCTCACTTTGTAGACCAGGCTGGCCTTGAACTCACAAAGATTCACCTGCCTCTGCCTCCCGAGTGCTGGGATTAAAGGCGTGCGCCACTACCACCCGGCCCTATTAGGTATTTCTACTGAAATGATATATTAAAGAGTTGGATTGGAGAGATGGCTCAGCAGCTAAGAGCCCTTACTACTCTATCAGAGCATTGGAGACCAGATCCCAGAACCCACATCTGGCAGCTTACAAATGCCTATAAGCTCCAAGAGATCTGGGTTTTGTGGGCACTTTCACACACATACATACATAAATAAAATGTGTGTGTGTATTTTCAATAATTTAGAAGTATTTAGAGAGAATATGTCTAAATTTTATTTATCCTGTGGTCACACACACACACACACACACACACACACACACACACACACACACACACATCAGGCAAGCACTCTACCACTGAACTATATCCCCTATTTATTTTCTATTTTGATACAGAATCTCACAAGGCATCCAAGCTAGGCTTGAACTCAACACTGTATCTCACATAGGCTTTGGACTGCCTCAACCTCTCTAGTAGTTGAGATTACAGGTCTATGTCAACTGACATGGCTATACATATTTCCTCACAATTCAGAAAGTAACCACTTTGTAGAGAGGCAAACTGAGAATCAGGGAGGATCAGTACTTTGTCCATAAAGTGTAATTAACAGCAGGCCTTGAATTAAAATTTCGGTTTTCCCAACTTCATGTCCTTTTAGTATACAGGTTACAGAGTCAGCATTGGAACCCAAACTTGATAAATTCCAACACCTTATGACTATGACTATTGTACTTTCATGCAAGGACTTCCTGTATCATAACTTTATTTCAAAGGGATTCACTGGGCAGTTATACCAGCAGGGAGAAATCAGAAAGGGGACTGCAGTTAGGTGATCACTTAACTAAACCAGAGAAGGGGTGGGGCAATAGGGCTCTGAATGGGATGAGGGTAGTGGCAAGGAAATGGGAGAGGAAGGAACATCAGGAGAGACTTCACTGAAACAGAGGCAATAAAGATTATGATGAAAAAATGAGATCTATTGCCGGGCGGTGGTGGCGCACGCCTTTAATCCCAGCACTCGGGAGGCAGAGCCAGGCGGATCTCTGTGAGTTCGAGGCCAGCCTGGTCTCCAAAGCGAGTTCCAGGAAAGGCGCAAAGCTACACAGAGAAACCCTGTCTCGAAGAAAAAAAAATGAGATCTATCACAAAGACCTGAAAATGAATAATTGGAGATGATACCCCAGTTTTCTACCTGATTGGAATACACTGGACTTAAACAGATTAAGTCTGTCATGGTATTCTATAGTTCCAGAATTGGCAGCATTTGGCCAGAAAACAAAGCAGCTTTAATACCTGGAATTTTAGCTACTCTTAAGATATACATAAACTTCTACTATAATCAGAACATGGTTACCTGTCAATAGTCATATGAAAGAATAACAAACTTTTCTTCCAAAAAGTGGCCAAAAAGCTCAAACAACTTTTTCACTGTAGAGATCAGAAACAAGAATATCACCTTTGGTTCTATAAGACAACACTGCACTCATTTTTTTATTCAGCCATCAGTTTGAGAGTCTATGGAAGACAGGTAACCATAGCTAATTTTGAGAAAAATCATTCTTTATGATCTATGGGCTCAATAGTCTTTGCTACTTTCTTTAGATTAAGGTCAATAATGTTAAAGCCATGCCTCAACCTAACAGAAAATGTGTAACTATCAATTAGTCACAAAGAAGCAAAACATAACACATTGGCATTAATTCTCAAGTTCACTAGGAATACAGTTAGAAATTAGTTTCTCACTTTATGTGAAGAAAGTATAATTATATACTACATGTTTTTCTTTCTTTTTTTTTTAAAGATTTATTTATTTATTGTGTATACAGTGTTCTGACTGCACATATTCCTGCAGGCCAGAAGAGGGCGCCAGATCTCATTACAGATGGTTGTGAGCCACCATGTGGTTGCTGGAAATTGAACTCAGGACCTTTGGAAGAGCAGCCAGTGCTCTTAATCCCTGAGACATCTCTCCAGCCTCTACATGTTTTTCATTAGTTTTGTGTAGCTAAATGTTTGAGGATGACAGAAAAACTCTGAAATACCCAGATTCCCAAGTTTAAAATGCAAAATAAAAGCATATTGGGGGTCAGCAGAGAAAGCACTTGCTATGCAAGCCTGGTGATCTGAGTTCAATTCCTGGAACCCATGCAAAGATAGAAGGAGAGAACTGACTCTATAAACCTATTCTCTGGCTTCTATATGTGCACTGCTCCCAACCCCTTCCCCCATTTCTCTTTCTCTCTCTCTCTCTCTCTCTCTCTCTCTCTCTCTCTCTCTCTCTCTCTCTCTCTCTCTCACACACACACACACACACACACACACACACACACACACACACAATTTCTTCAAATATATAGTATAAAAAACTTTTATTTTTTTTACCTGGTTTGTTTTGATCAAGGTCTGTAGTAGGGGTATCAATACGAGCCTTAGGGTTGAAAGGCTGGCTACTCAAAAACTTATCACACTGCAGGCTGTGACAGAAATTTTCAAGAAAGCGAAGTGCAAATGATGCACTATTCACTGGAGGGAGCTCAACGGTATGAACTTTCCCATCAAAGGCGGCTATGAAGTGGGGAGGTAATGTCAGTCATCAGTCATCTCATAGACAGATGAAAAATACAGTAACAAAAGAATCAATTCAGGAAATGTACTTTTAAGTTTACTTTCTGGGTTTTGAAATGTAAAAAGGAATTGATAAAATTCTATTTTAAATATTTATAAGCAGGGTAAGAGAAATGGCTTGGTTTACAGTAAGCCTTCTACTCTAAACATCTCCTGAGTACAAATGTGATAGTATCTGCTTATACAATCATGATAGACACTGGCTACAACCTACTCTATCCTACCCTATTTTTTAAATTTTTTTTATGGTGCTGGAGACTAAATTCAGGGCCTTGTACATGCAAGGCAAGCATACTACCCCTGAGCTACAATTCCTAGCCTTTTCCTTTTATCTTAATGAGATTTTCTTTTGTGTCACACTGTTCTTTAAAGCTTCTTAGAGATTTTCTATAAAAATTAAAACTTTATGTGAACCATGCATAAATCTCTGGCTTAACAAAGCATGCTCAAGGAAAAAATTGGTGTCTTTTACTTAAACTTATAGTATTATACTACTAGTCTCTGTTGTTTGTTTGTTTGTGTGACACAGGATCTCAACTATATAGCCTTGGCTGACCTGGCACTTTATAGCCCAAAGTGCCCTTAAACTCACAGTAATCCTCCTGTTTCAGACTCCTGAGTACAAGGGGAATAGATATAGGCCATAATACCTACTCTCATCTGTCTGGTTTGATAAAAGTAAACTTTCCAAATAAGAGTTAAAATATGTTAAGCATATAACCACTATACTTATTCTATCAGTATAATAAAAGATTATAGTATAATATAAATATTATAAGTAATCTATATGCAATAATAGTCTGCCCTTCTAAACCTCAAATCAAATTTAGAACAGGAGTTGAATAAAGAATTAGATTAGTATACCAGTAATTATTTCTCCTCCTCGAGTATCTGGCTTAAGAAATAGAAACACAGCCTTGGGGTCAATGGCACAATCCACACAGGCCTGCACAGTCCGCCGGAGAATCACATTCACAGGGCCTGGGCCAAAGTGGTCAGGCAGCTGCTGAACTTTCTGTGGATCCAGGTAGGGGCCACAATCTCCATGTTTATTTATATAGACACAGACTTGAAAAAAATGTATATAAACAATGAGGTGAATTAAAATACATTTTCTGAAAATATTACATAATTGCCATATCCTACTAGTGACTTCACTTAAAGGAAATTTAAATATAGTTCATATCATTGACCATTTCTGCTACTGAAAATATGCAAATAGATATATTATCATATTATATAAAGGTATTGAACATGCAAATAGTAAAAAAAAGAGCTTATTCAGTATTTTAGAGTTCTACTCAAACTGATTATATATGTATGAGAAAACTTAGGAGTATCATATCATCATTCTCAATTTATTATTGCAAGAAATGGTACAAAAATTAAAAAGTAGTTTCCTGTTTTTCTTATTCTTTAAGTTGTGATCTTTCCCCTCTAACTTCTCCTAGAGGTTTCCCAATTCTCTACCTACTTAAGCTCATTGTACATATAGTATGTGAATTTCCTTTGAAAATTGGTCATCCTTACTCCTTTTGTGACTGAATTTCTCATAAATCACCAATAGTATACTTCAATTGCATTTTCTAAAGTAATCAAATGATTTAAGGTTATGTAATGGTAATTTCTAATGATATAAAGTTAGAAAAATGAAAATAAAAATTTCCTTCTGTATATGCCTAGGCTCATTGATGAAAATTTTAAACTGTTTTCTTTGTACAATAAAAACATACAATATAGAAGTTTCCCATCTATAATTATGGTGTCAAATACAGATAATTTAAATCAGCAAAGGCAAATCAAGGTATACTATAAAAACATGCAGGTTTATCATTACTGAAACTATTACTTTCTTAAATCAAGAACATTTTAAGCTATTAATCTGTACTGAAAAATTATATATATTTAGTATACTAAAAACCCATTCATCTCAGTTTCACTGGGTTGAAATATATGGTAATCTGACTTGTCCCAACAGTCAGAAGGATAGGCTCTGTCACAAAAATGAAACAGTGATTAGCCTCAGCCCAAGGTGATAATGGCACAAATACATTCAGGAAGTAAAGCAAAAGGATTTCAATGTTTTATCATATTTTTACCTCACTTGTTGAGCATCCCTTAGATGAAATCATTAGTACCAGAAAATTTAGTACACACATAATGAGATAACTTGGAGATAGGACATAAGTCTGAGCATAAAATTCATGTATATTTCTTATACACTTTATACACAAAGTCTGAAGGTAGTCTGATATAATAATTTGGGGGCACTGGGTTTTGATTGCGACCCGTCATATGAAGTCAGGTGTTTTTACTTCTGGTGTCATGTCAGTACTCAAAAAGTTCAAAGTTCACATTCTTGGATTAGATATGATCAACTTGTATTCGTGTAGCTAGTGGATTAAAAATCATACATAAGAAATGAAGTGAGATAAATGAATCTTTGAAAAACAAGTGGTATTTCAAGAAATAATTCCCTTTAAGTGAGGAAAAAAATAAGGAAAAGTTCAAGAAATGTAAGAGTATAAAGAAGGTAATTAAGGATATAAAAGAAGGAATAGGACACACTTTTTAAAAACATGAATGGAGTGCTAGAGAGCTGGCTCAAGAGCACTGGCTGCTGTCTCCAGAGGGACTGGGTTTGCTTATAAGCACCCACATGACAGCTTACAACTGTCTGTGTCTTTATTCTCAGGATATCTGACATTCTGACGTTCTTGTCTGGGTACAAGGCACATACATGGTGCACAAATACACGTGCAGGCAAAATACTCATACATACAAAATAAAAATGAAAGGAAAATTAAGATTAAGGAAATGTATAGGGGATGATAAAAAAGAATTTGCTTTGGTCTGTGCTCTTTCAAACATACCAGAGAAGAATTTAAAATCACCATGTCCTTTGACAGAAACATTATTTTCAAAAGGCATGAGTTACCTTGGAAAACACGTATCATACGAAATGACAAAATACTTTGACAATAAAGAAGAAAGATTTGATAATGACACAAATTCAAAATGTTGGATTTTTTTTTAGGTGACATGGATTTAAATAGACTGGTTTTGCTTAACATTAAGCTGAACTACTAGCTTACCAAATACATTGTTTACTCATTTCTAGAAAATACTAACTTACCTGTAGACATCACTATTTTAGATGGCCCTGCAGAAGACTTATTAGATGAAGAGCTTTTCATCAGTGAACTGAGAGAAGCTGAAGATGTAGAAGAAACAACTGGAATACATTTTTCCTGTTTTTTAAAAAAAAGGAATAAAGAATTCAGGTATATGTTCTCTTTTAAGAGCTTCTAGATGAGAAAAAAATGGTAGACATCACTGGATCACAAAATCATTAGTTTAAAAAAAAAGGCTGAAAACCTTCTGGGTACCAAGAACTGCAATGCTTTGGAAAATGAACTCAGGCCCACAAGCTGTTCAGGTGCCAGAGAAAGAGACCAAAAGGCTAGGTAGAATTCCTTATCCTATCTTCTGTTGATACCTTAGTCAAATTAGTTAACTGTGTAAAACCTGTTAACTTCAAAACATTTTTGAGGTTCCCTGCAAGACATTTTTTATCATTGTTAATTCTATAAATCTCTTTTCTAATAGGCAAAAATAACCACAACAAGGCAGAGGGCTTTAGCAAGCAGCTGTTCATTCCCATTGTGTCTAGCCACCAATAATCTTCATAAAATTGTAAGTAATTTGGTGAAGACTGCTTGTTGCACATAAGAGACAAATATCTCTTAAACACAGTTGAATATTACTAATATTCTGCTTATGTGAAATCTTGGGATTTTTCTAGGAGCTACTTTCAAACTGCTCTGCTTTATCAAAAGAAAAGACTCTTGTGCCTAGAAAAATTATGACAAAAAGACAAAAGAGTAAAGCATTTGAGGTTGCTGCAATATACTTTAAATTAATGACTGTTATCTGGATTCACAGTGGACTAGTAAATCATGCCAAGTATTGAATTACAAATTTCATTTTTTCAATGTTTCAAAATTCTGAACCCTTTGATGAAAGATAATGTTTACTACTTCAACTTGAACAAATACAACTATTTAGAAAATTTACTAAAAAAGTTTTTAAAGTTTCTAAACTTAAATTTGATTAAATTTTATGTGTATAGATGTTCTGCCTGCATTTGTATGCCTGTGCCCACAGAAGAGGGCATTGTATCCCTGGAACTGGTGCTACAGAGGGATGTGAGCTTTCATGTGGTTGCTGGGAATCAAACTCAGGCCCTCTGGAAGATCAGTCAGTGCTCTTAACCACTAAGCAATCTCTCTAGCCCCTGTGCTAAAATCCAAAACGTAGGAAAAAATGATATTTCATAAAGGAGTCTATTTTAAGAATATTTTCTATAGCTCAAAAACTTTCTCAGTTATTAAAACTGTGAACATCTTTATTTTTCATATAAAATAACGAAGTTAGATAATAGTGAACTGAAATGATGCTTTTGAAAAAAAATACAAATTATGAAATATACTACTAGTTCTTTATCTCTATCATTAAATAATGTGTACCAAAATACCTTTTCAAAATTATATTAGTATTGATACTAGAAAACATAGGAGTCAAAAGATATTATCACTACTATTACACTAACTTTCTGAGCAGGTGAAAATACATGTTTTCAAATATATCTTCACATTAAATTTCAAGATCAACTTTTTCTTTTTTCTTTTTTTTTTTTTTTTTTGGTTTTTCGAGACAGGGTTTCTCTGTGTAGCTTTGTGCCTTTTCCTGGAACTCACTTGGTAGCCCAGGCTGGCCTCGAACTCACAGAGATCCGCCTGGCTCTGCCTCCCGAGTGCTGGGATTAAAGGCGTGTGCCACCACCGCCCGGCAAGATCAACTTTTTATAATTTTATTTCCCATTTTTAAAATGTTACTGCTTTACAGTAATCTTTTTATGTTTATCATAATATATTTACAAATATTTCATACTGATTTTTATAAATTTTAAATGTTTTAAACAGAAATGATAGTATAAGTATTTTAAAAACAAGAAAGATGACATTATTTGTTACATATGGCAAACATTCATAGAAACAAATGTTATGCTGATATCACATGGAAATATTAGATGTATAAGATAATACTGAGATATTTATACCTTTATATTTAGAGTGCATGTCTTTTTGTTTTGTTTTGTTTTGTTTTTCGAGACAGGGTTTCTCTGTGTAGCTTTGCGCCTCTCCTGGAACTCACTTGGTAGCCCAGGCTGGCCTCGAACTCACAGAGATCCGCCTGGCTCTGCCTCCCGAGTGCTGGGATTAAAGGCGTGCGCCACCACCGCCCGGCTAGAGTGCATGTCTTATAGATACTATTTATTTTTAAAATTCCAGTTTTTTAAATCTCAGCCTTTTAATGAAGAATTTAATTCATTAATGTTTAATATAATTATTATTATATTTGGTTCTGAGTAAACCATTTTATTATGCACTATTTGTTTCCTTTATTCTTTTTTGTTGTAGTGGTTCCACTTATTCTATCTTTTGAGGGGTTACTTGAATACTTAAAATTCCATTTTAATTTCTTCCTTGGATTTTTAGGTACACATACTTCTCTACATTTTTTACATTATGACTAGAGGCTCATCCTTAACTGCATAATTTTCAAATAAAAATTCATAATGTACCATTTCACATAAAATGTTGAAATTAAAATTATATAGATCCTTATCTGCCATATTCAGGCTTTTATAATGTAAATTGTTTATATATATATCTGTGATATAAACTGTGCAGGACTAGAAATGATTATAAGAAAAAAATTTCTTCACTATTTTCCTCTCCCAATCTATCCCTGCCTCGCTTCCTCCTGACTAATTACACATGTTAAGAAAATATCAACTTACTCTCTTTTTCAGTATTTTAAATTCTGTACCAGTTTTTCACATTGGATAGTTTCTATTCTATTCTCCAACTCATTTACTCTTTGTTCTTTCATCATCAGTAAATACTAGTTAATTCTGTCCAATGACTACTTTACTTTAGATATTACTACTGTTCCACCCCCAACTCCAGTTCCCCTCTCTGCCCTATTTGAGTTCCTTTGATGATGAACTGTAATACAGAAGTACAATTTCCTCATAAGTTGCTTTTGTTTCTCAAAATAGAAAACCTAACTAAGACAAAAAGAGCCTTATATATTTAAAACAGTCCTAAAACCTTCAGCATAATTTTAGTAAATTGCTAACCTGCATGTTAAAAATAATACTACAATACAAAGACTTACAATACAAAGTAGCAAGAGATATGACTAACCTTTTTTCCTGACTTTCCACCTATTTTCTTTGGTAGGACAATTTTAATAGTAATGCCTTTCTTAGGAGCTGAAGTATCTCCAGTTGACTTAGTTTGTCCTGACTTCTTGCTGGTCTTTGTTACTGGTAGTACAATAGTTGTTTTCCGTGGAGACATCTTTGAAGATTGAGCCCCTTTGGAGGTGGGAGACTTTGTTTGCTCAGAGGTGGAAGGCTTTGTTGTCTCAGAAGTGGAAGATTTTGTTTGTTCAGCGGAGGAAGGTGGTGTGTTCTCTGTACTGTGCACTGAAAGAGCTGAGAAAAGAGCTTAGAAACAAAAATTAAAGAAAATTATATAGTTAAAAACACTACCATATGACTCAAAAAACTTTTAGCATATCTTTAAAAGTTCTCAAGGGTTACTAATGAAAACTATTTTAAACAAGATCCAAATTAGCAAACCTAGAGATGAAAAGGAAGACACTACAAAAGATACTAAGAAAATTAAGAGAATCATAAATACATATTTAAAAAAATCTGTATTCCACTAACTGGAAAGCCTAAAGGAAACAAATTTCTTAAAATATACAATCTATCAAAGTTAAATCAAGATAAAGTAAGTGTAATTTAAGTAGATTCGTAACTCCTAGTAAGATAGAAGCAGTAACTAAAAATCTCCCAACTATAAAAAGCCAGTGGACAGATGGTTCAGCATATAATTCTACCAGGTATTCAAAAGAGAATTAATGACACTAGTCTACAAATTATTCTGCAAAAGAAAAACGAAGAAACATTCCTAAATTCTTCTTAGAAGGCCATCATTACCTGTTACCAAAACCACACAAAGATCCAACAAAAAAGAAAACAACAAACCAATATCAATCATGAATATAGATCATAAACTCAATAAAATATTACAAACCAAATTCAAGAATACATCAAAAAGATTATTCACTATCAATTCAGCTTCATACCAGAGATACAGGGATGATTCAACATATGTAAATCAATAAATATAATCCACCATATAAAAAGACCAAAGGACAGAAACCACATGATCACCTCAAAAGATAGAGAATAGGCCTTTGACAAAATTTGACATTGCTGATAAAAGTCCTGAAGAGATCAAGAATATGTGGGACATATCTCAACACAATAAAGGCACTTTATAACAAGTTCACATATCAACATTCCTTCTAAATGGGGAAAAACAAAAACAAAACAAAACAAAAAAGAACAAAAACATTTCCACTTAAATCAGACTCTTTCCATACTTGTTCAATATAGTGTCTACACATAAGCAAGGAATAAATCAAAGTATCATCATTTGGAGATGATATGCTTTTTTATACATAAAAGACTTCAAAGACTACACCAGGAAACTTCTATAGCTGATAAATATGTTAAACAAAATAGCAGGGATGGTGATGGCTCCAGAGGTTGCTTTATTGTACAAAATTATTTTAGCTATCCTGTTTTTTTTGTTTTTCCATATGAAGTTGAGTATTGTTCTTTCTAAGTCTGTGAAGAATTGTGTTGGGATTTTGATGGGGATTGCATTGAATCTGTAGATTGCTTTTGGTAAGATTGCCATTTTTACTATGTTAATCCTACCTATACATGAGCATGAGAGATCTTTCCATTTTCTGATATCTTCTTCAATTTCTTTCTTCAGAGACTTAAAGTTCTTGTCATGCAGGTCTTTCACTTGCTTAGTTAGAGTTACCCCAAGGTCTTTTACATTATTTGTGGCTAGTGTAAAGGGTGATGTTTCTCTGACTTCTTTCTCAGCCCATTTATCGTTTGTATATAGCAGGGCTACTGATTTTTTTGAACTGATCTTGTATCCTACCATATTACTAAAGGTGTTTATCAGCAAAAAAAAATAGCAGGATATAAAATTAACACACAAAGATAAGTAGCCTTCCTATATACAAATAACAAATCAGGGAAGCAAATCATATAGCAAAGCAACATCATACAATTTCACAATTGCCTCAAAAAACATGTTGGAATCACTCAAACTAAGCAAATAAAAGACTTTGTATAATAAAAAAATTTAAGAAACTGAAGGCATAAAAAGATGCAAAGACTCCCCATGCTCATTGATTGGGGAAAACTAATATTGTGAAAATGGCCATCATACCAAAAGAAATTTACAGATTCAATGTAATCCCCATCACAATTATAACATAATCCTGCACATAAATGTAACAAATAATCTTAAGTTTCATACGGAAACACACACAATCAGGATAGCTAAAACAATCACAAACAACAAAAGAACTGCTGAAGTTATTAACCTTCCTGATTTTAAGTTTTACTGCAGAGTTATATTAATACAAACAAGCATGATGTTGGCATAAAAATAGATATACTGAACAATGGAATAGAGTTAAATACCTGGATATAAGCCCACACACCTACAGACACCTGATTTTTGTTCAAGAAACAAAAATACACACTGGAGAAAAGACAGCATCTACAACAAATGATACTGGTTAAACTGCATAGCTTCACGTAGAAGAATGAAAACAGATCCATCTATCACCCAGCACAAAACAACTCCAACTGGATCAAGGACCTCAAGATAAGACTTGATACAATGAATTTGATAGAACAGAAAGTACTGAAAACAATTAAACCCATTGGCACAGGAAAGAACTTTTTGAACAGGAGCCAAATAGTTTAGGCATTAAGATGAAAATTAATAAATGGGAACTCATGAAGCTAAGAAGCTTCTGTACAGCAAAGGACACAATAAATTGAGCAAAAAGGACCAGAGAGAATGCAAAAATACAACATTACCAACTATAGATCTGACAGAAAGTTAGTGTATCTAGAATATACAAAGAATTTTAAAAGCTGAACATCAAGAAAACTATTACCTCAATTAGAAAACGGGATATATAATGAAAAAGAGTTCTCAAAAGATGAAACACAAATGGCTGAAAAACCTTATAAAATATTCAACATCCATAAGCACCAGGAAAACACACAAAATCTCATTCAAGTCAGAATGGCCAATAAAACAAATGACAGCTCATATTGGCCAGGATGGGGTAAGGAAAACACTTATCCATTGCTGGTGGGAGTGCAAACTTGTACAGCCACTATGGAAATCAGCATGGCAGTTGCTAAAGAAAGATGGGAAATTGATCTACCTCAAGATCCAGCTGTACCACTCTTGGGCATATACCCAAAGAACTCTATATCCTAATGCAGAGATCTTGCTCATTCATGCTTACTACTTCTCTATTCATAATAATTAGAAATTTGTTAGCGCTTAGATATTTATCAACTTATGAATGGTAATGAAAATGTGATATATTTATACAATGGATTATCATTCAACTGTTAAGAAAAATGAAACTATCTAAAATATGTAGGTACACAGATGAAGTTAGAAAAGAATCATCCAAAGTAAGGTAATGCAGATCCAGAATGAAATACAATATATATTTTCTCTTATATGTAGATGTTAGCTTTTATGCTTTAAATATGTGTGTTTCTTTTATAATACCCACAGAGGTTAGGTAGGTAGAAAGGGACCAGGGGGGAGGATGGGATCTTCCAAGGAGCAGGAAATAGAATATAGTGCTATAAAATGGAAATTAGAACAAGAGAATTAAAGGGGGTGGGCTATGAGAGGGAGGGTAGAGGAGGGAACATGGGGAGGAAAAATTAATTAAAAAACCTCTTAAAAACCCAAATGGAAACCTACTATAATAAAGGCTTCCTGAAATATACACAAATATAAAATGAGTTCAAGTGCAGTGACCTTATAATGGAGGGACAACACACCTACTCTACAGTACAAACTACCAAAAACTAACCCAGTACCAGGAATCGGTTACCACTTTTTGAGGTGTTAGCCAAAGGGGTCCCACAGATCCCACATCTAACACAACAGGGCACTACCAATGCGGTTGCCCTTTACAACTGGAGGGTAAGAATCTCAAAGTAGTTTTAATTTGCTGAGCATGCCACATACAATGTCAAGGAACATGGAAAACCACAGCTGGTATGAAAATGAAAGCTTCACTTCTATTGGTTCATAGTATGATAAGTTGCTATACACATTATCAGAGAAGAAAAGCAATCATCAATCTCAACAAGCTACAAACTGAGCAAGCTATAATAACCATCTGCCTGCTAGATATACTCACTGGCACAATAGTAGCAAAAATTTTCTTTGGAGTAATCAATTAGTTTTTTACTAGATTTAAGGCCCACTCCATGAGATGGACCCCCAAAAGGATACTGGTAATGAAGAAAAAAAAACTGTGACAAGATAGGCCAAGTGTCCTAGGAGAAATCTCACTAGTATAATTCTGATAAGTGGTCATAGTAATAAAATGACTCCTAGATGAATGACATATTGCTATTGATTACGAATGATCTTTAGTCATTGATTGGCGATAAACGAAACCCTTTTCAGAGAAGGTTCTTGCAGTGGTTGGTAATTAAAAAAGAGACCTACAACTGGACCACCTGCAGAGAGTGAGAGACTTTGGAGTGCTCAACCCTAAATGAGATGTCTGTATCATTCTCATCCCCTCAATATTCAGTTATCTATGTGGAAAAGCAGGTGGAAAGATTCTAACCAGAGGCGCAGAGGACTTTGATAAGAGAGTATTTTCCAGAAACAACAGAGAAGACACATATCCAAAAAGAACATGACAAAATGCACAGAACATATACAAGCTCAAAGCAGAAAAAAAACCAGCATGGATGAGGTGAAGTAGATATAAAGTCTCAGTCCTTAGCTAAGAATTGATAGCTGCTATGAAAGAAAAAACAATTTTCCTCAACAGAGTAACATGGTACGTATCAGCCATTGTAGGGCAGGTACAATATTCAGTAGTACATGAACACAAATTGGACACCTAATTTTTAAGTTTTCCCTTTTTTAAGAGAAGGAATATAATATCCTACACAAAGCAAGGTAAGGAAAAGACATTGGAAGAGTTGGGGGAGGGGACACAATATGATCAAAATATAAGGTATAAATTATTTAACAATAAATAAAATCATTAAAAAATAAAACATTGTTTAAACAAGAATGCCAGTCAAAATGAAATTTTAGGAACATTAAATTTTCATAATCAGGAAACAATTTAATTCTCTAAAAAAGATGAATTTGTTAGAATAACCAGCAAATTTGATTTAGCACATTGAAAATTTTAGCAATTTATCATTGTGTTACTTCTTATATTGGAGTTCTTAAAACAAAAACTGTCTTCCATTATGAAAAGAACATGCTATCATTTAATATTGATCAAATATCTTGTAAACCAATATAGCAAAACAAGGCAAGGCAATTACCTGGAATTGCTTCTTCATCTTCCAAAAGTTTGGCTTGGTCTTTCCAAAATTTGCTGACTCTTTTGCGCTTGCGTTTTTTCTCCGCTTTGTTGAGGTATGAAATGAAAAAAAATGCATATTTAAAGCTGGAACACATTATGTTCCAGTATGCATATTAAATAATAAAGCATCTAATGAGCTATAGTCTCAAATCTTATCATAGTGAAAATTCCTATGAATTTATCATTGTGGTACTTATACTTGTTTCCTTAAAAGTGAAAAACGGTCTTGTTTTCTAAAAACATTGTACCATTATTCAATATATGGCAAACATCTTATGAATCAATATGGATTAAAAAAAATCAAAGCAATCACCTAGGGCAGCTTCTTCATCTTCAAAAATTCCGGCTTGGTTTTTCCAAGGATTGGTGACTGTCTTGCCCTTGCGTTTTTTCTCAGCTTTGTTGAGGTATGAAATGAAAAGTATTATGTTCATTTAAAGCTGGAACACATTATATTCCAGTATACATGCTAAATAATAAAGCTTCTAATGTAGCATAGTCATGAAAGGTTACCATCACACTCATATGACATTTAACAATGCACAACATGGCACAATAACTCTAAGGACACAGTAGTGGCATGCATACCTTGGCAGTAACCAAATACTCTTTACTTGGGACTTAAAAGCTACTCAACATGAGGGAAACTATAACTGGCACTAGAAATCTAGCTAAAAATTCTGTGCTAGAGAAATGATGGTTATTGGAGGACAATCTGCAACCACTAATTTAACTAAAGCAGCATAGGCCCCAACAACTATCTATAAACATTTGTCTTCATACCCACAGATATTAGTAGTGTTCATTCTTCATCAAGAAAACTTGTTTGTCACAGACAGAGACCATTACAATAAACCAAAACTAATCAAAACAAAGAGTGGTGGAGCCCAATCAGAATGGATACTTCTATAGAACATTCCTGCACTCTATTCAAGAGGAGGTAGAAAGATTGTAAAGAGCCAGAGGGTCTCCTAGTAATATCAGGAGAAATATGATGTGGGATGTCTTTCTGTACGCTGTGAATATGTGTTGCTCCCACTGGTTAATAAATACAACTGCTTTGGCCTATGGCAAGGCAGGAGAGAGGCAGGCAGGAAATCCAAGCAGACATACAGGAGGAAGAAAGGCAGACGGAGGGAGATGCTGTGACCTGCCCAGAGGAACAAGATGTATTAGGATACAGGTAAAGCCACGAGACATATGGCAATACATAGATTAATAGAAATGGGTTAATTTAATATGTAATAGCTAGCTAGCAATAAGTCTGAGCCATAAATCAGTTTGTAATTGATATTAAGCCTCTGAGTGATTAGTTTATTAAAACAGCTGCTGCCCGGGTGGGACTGGGCAGGACCGAGAAACTTCAGTCTACAGAAATTCACATAAAAACTCATGAACAACACTGCCAAAACATGAGCTGAACAAGAATGACACTAATACATATACAAACTGGACAGAGAAAAGACCATGAAGCTTCAACCCTCCAAAGAAAACAGGGAATGGGAGAGATGGGAATCCCCAGGTAGAAGCACACCATTTCACTGTCTGATGTGAAAAAGCCAGCCATGAAAATATACATACAGTTACTATTATACAGACAAAACAAGTTATATTCAGGGTTGTATATGTATATAGATATTCTTTTTTTTTTCTTTTGGTTTTTTGAGACAAGGTTTCTCTGTGTAACAGCCCTGGTGGTCCTGGAACTAGCTCTTCAGAAAGGCTGGCCTTGAACTTACAAAGATCTGCCTTCCTCTGCCTCCAGAGAACTGGGATTAAAGGCATGTGCCACACATGCCCAGCCACATAGATATTCTTGAATGAAAGCATTAACAATTACTGAGAAAAGAGGCCAGACATTTGGCAGAGATAGAGGCATACATGGGAGTTTTGGGGGAAGGTAAGGGTCAGGAGAAAGCTTGAAATTTAATCATTATCTTAAAAAAAGAAAATGTTCTCTTTTAAAACATGAAAAAAACTAAAATCAGGAAAAATCTAATTCTTAAAAGATAAACTTATTACAATAGGAGACAAATTTGACTTATCACACTGAAAATTTCTACAAATTTTTCATTATACTACTTCTTATATTCATTTTCTTAAAAGTTAAAAAGTCTTTCCTTCTAAAAATATTACATCAATGTTCAATACACAGCAAACACGAGAATAAATACAGATTAAAAAAACACCACGAACAAACAAAAAATAACAAAAAAGCGATCACCTGGGGCTGCTTTTTCATATTCAAGAAGTCCGCCTTGGTCTTTCCATGGTTTGGTCACTGTTTTGCCCTTGCGTTTTTTCTCAGCTTTATTAAAGTATGAAATGAAACAGAGACTGTGTACATTTAAAGCTACAACACATTATGTTTAATTCACTGTTTTCCAAATAATAAAGCTTCTAATACTAATGCATATGCTCTAATATAGCCTGTCATAAAGAAGACTATCATGAAGCTCATGTGATGTGTACCATGCCTATCATGGCATGGTAACTCTAAGCATGCAGCAGTGGAACAACTTCTTTATAAGCAACAGCTATTTACTTGGACTTATGACTCTCTGACCAAGTAGAGAATGTGTGACACTGGAAACTCAGCTAAAACCTCTGTGCTTGGCAAATTATGATTACTGGAGAAGAATCTAAAGCCACTAACTTACTAAAATGGCACAATCCCTAACAACAATCTATAAACATTGTTCTTACACATGTAGATAACTGCAGTCTTTACTCTTTATCAAGGGAATTT